GAAAAATTTCAGCCAGCTATATATGTAGTGACAAAATCTATATATTCCAAACCCTTGCCCGTGTGAACTCCTCAAAAATTCAGCATCATTATCATATACATGGATTAAAATTTAGAAATCGGACAGGACTCACGGCGTAAAATTAATTCAAAATAGTTATTTCATAAAACGCTTTAACCTTTTAGGGAAGTTGGTCAATTTCGAGGAAATCTTTGAATTCTCGAAGCGTTGCGAATAGCTTTCCGATTGGACTAATAATCAAAGTCTTTTGAAAGTGTATTTATAAATTAAAGTATTCAACGAACTGTACGATATAGTAAAAAACTAAAAGCTTGATATTTCTTCAATAATGTACTCGAGTCAGTGCTTGCTGAACGATTCGTCACTTCTAGTTTGGTTCGGCTATCTGTCTCCGTCTCCTGCAGTCTAATTCGGCTAGCTTTGCCCCCTCATTCAGCTCCTCTTCTTCCCGCATCCCCTGTCACCGTCTACCATTAGCTTGCATCTCCCGCAACGCTAAAATTTTAAAGTTTCGAAACTCTAATAAGTCCCCCTCCTGTAGAAAGGAAAACGCGGGACACAAATGATTTGCTATCTCTTTGATATTCGCTGTCAAATCAAACAATCGAAATTTCGAATCACACATGAAACAATCATATCTATAAGCTCTCAAATGTGTTGTGAAACTCTTCTCTATTAAAATGCAAAATGGTATCGTTAAAAATTATTGAATCAATCAGACTATTAAATTCCAGTCGGAAGTTTGTCATGGAACTCATAAATCTTCTGGCCCCACTATTCGTCTGTGTGCTCTGGTTTTCGATCACTAAAACCTGCGTACCTGGCAGCAGTCTTGATCCTGAATTTCTTCCCAAAGTAGATAAACACAATGTTACCACCGAGTATAACAGTAGTTATGATTCCAAATGTCACATAGACCCATGTCAATCCAACACTATCAGTCCAGGGCTGAAGAACAAAAATAAACATTGTCAAGATGGCGTTGCGGACAAAAGTCACACCCATAATTGAGTCGGCAATGATCTGTAAATTTTACTGTCAGTAATTGCTTGTGCGAGGCTCAAAAAAGAAGAAAACTCACATCTGTGTATGCATCGGTCAGGTATGTAAGTGCAGCGCTGCTGGTTGGAAGAACCCCGAAACAAATGATTCCAAGCCCAAAGGCCGGTACAAGCCAGTTGGCGCCGTTGTTCAAACCAATTCCGAAAATAAAGACACCCGCTGGGACAAATGGTGCGAAGGCGACAGAAATCCAAAGACGCATCTCAGGCTCAAAGACACCGCCATTTCTTTTGGCGAGGTAAAGAGAAACATAGTCACTCAAGAAGCCACCAATCAAAGTCCCTAGACTAGCACCAATGAAAGGTGGAAGGCCCATCAATCCAATCTGAGTAGGATTGAACTCATATGGGGGAAGTGTCATGTATGATGATAGGGAGGTGACTGGAAGAACTATGCAGGAAATCAAGACTCCATATTGAAGTGACATGAAAAAGACAGCCGGTATGGTGAATATGACCAAGAAAGGCTGGTAAGTGTGCTTGAAAAGTTGACTCAGTGGCATTGGTGAGTTCGACCACAATGCCAATTTTTGCCAATAAGACTTTTGGGGAATTGAATAATCAATTATGACCTCTCCGAGTTGAGGAGCGACGTTTAGTGCCTCTGGGTCGTTGTTGTTGACTGCCTCTTTGCTTTCCGGCTGGCTGGAGACTTGTTCAGTTTCAGTGGTTGGACGGGTAAACATTGTCTCTTCGTAACAGAAAATAAACACAACAAGGCCTGCTCCAAGCAATATAGCGAGCCACCACCACACCCAGCGCCAGCCTTGGCTCGAAGTGATGAAACCACCGGGTAAAGGTGATAGAGTAGCTCCGGTGATCATGAACCAGTAGTAGATAGAATTCACGAGTCCTCGTTCATGAAAGTAAAACATATCAGCCACTGTCATCTGAACCATCACTTCTGCTAATGCACCGACCGTGCAACTTAACAGATTAATCAACATGAGCTCTGCCACGGTCCGCATCCTGGCGTACCATATACTCATTCCACATTGAACTGCGGTGCTGAAGATATAAACTGGTCGTCGTCCGAACTTCAATGCAAACGGAACGAGTAAAAACCCGCCGATACACAACGCCCCGTTTCCAGCAGCGAAAGCGTCATTGAGTATGGCGTAACTGAAACCAAGCTCGGCATTCACTGGCGCCCAGGTCACAGTTGCGATGTCGATTCTGCTTGCTTTAGTACTTCTGTATCACATCTATGTAATAGAAGAACACCTACAGTGAAAATACCATCAAGGTATAATAGGAAATTAATATAAAATTCAGATGCTTTCTCCATCGTGGCCAGTTCTAACAATTTGATGAGATTAGCTACTTAGCATGCGCAGGGAGGCTAAGCTTTCAACTCACGAGAGGGTCATTTGGGTCGTTACTAGGCCGTGGTTGTAGTATAATATGTGAGCTTCCCTCGAGCGACGTATTGCTTGACCCAGCTTGGGGCACCATGGTAGGAGAAACCTGTTTCGCTTCCATCTTGAAAAGGTAGTTGTGCTTGAAGTCAATGTCTACATGTGGGAGGAAGGCGGTGATATAAAGACTTTCGGGGTCGCTTAAAGGCAGGCAAATCGGTGAATGTTCAAGGGAGGTTCGGTGAGATGATAGAGGAGCTTATGCAGCATGAGATGATAATGCAAGATCTAAAGACAGGAGCTTACGCAGGATACGATGATAAGGCAGCATCTAGAGGTCGAGATGCCAAACAGCGGTCCAATCGCAAGTGATAAGGCGAGGAAAGCTCGAGGGAAGCTGTACGTACATCACGGCATGAAACTTAGTAGGAAGTACTCGTGTTGATCAAGAGAAAATTGTTGATTACTTTCGCGTATAAGGCTCCCCTGCAGCTTTGTCTATCGAATTATGGATTTTGCGTAAGTTCAGACCTACTTCTTCTTGATGAAAGACTCTAGAGATTGACTTTAGGGTTCGCATGGAATGTTTAAGGCGAAGGTGACGGACGGAACCGATCAGCAGTTTAAGGTGTTGTCAAGAAGAGCTGAACAAGGAAAACCCGCAATGATCGACGAGACGAGGAGTGGGATCCACTTTCGTAACTCTAGAATCTCAGTTGAGTTTCGCGGGACCTTAGAGGAAGGCGCAAAAATTTAACGGCAGATATATTGTAGGTCACTTTACGACAATTCGAACAATGAATGTAAGCCAACAGCACGGGATGATCGAGACAGTGTATCCACTGTCCAATGATTTGGACTGCGGCGCGAACTAGGCTTTTAAAGTTAAGCAACCAAGTTCAAGCCATTGAGAACTACACAGTCTGTCTTTGATAACCCAAGTCCCCAACACACCAAATTAACAATTCAAGAGTTCAGATAAGTCGAACAAATTAAAGATTCACATGAAAATGTGTAATATCTCCAGTGATAAATCTTGAACTTTCTAATTCGACTATAAAGCTACGTAAAAGTGTTTTAAAGAATTTGATGTATTATACAATAACCCTTATTCAATCCAAAAGTATAAACCATGGCTTGTTATTTGGATGGAGTATTGACAGACTATTGAATACACTGGGCTGAGATGGATGAAAGTGATGTAATATTCAGCTCCCTTGAAATCGGATGAGCCCGAACTCAAGAAATGAATATTACTTGAATTACTATGTATCCTCCAATCACGGATGGAATACATCGACGCATGAAATTTCACATATCGAAGCAGTCGCAAGAAGGGACTTATCGTGCATCTGTAGCTTCAGATCACCATTGACTTATTCCAGGGACCTGGAATCTTTCATTGGCCGATAGCAAAGGAATACAGTGAATGCAGATAACCCTGACCCTATTATCAAAAGTCATTGACAGGAACCTAGAGTATAATAGCCGTGGCACGTTACTTTGCGCAAGCTGAATATCAAGCTTTATCAGATGCTGCTCATCGCATACACACGGACTAATACGATCACGTATAACACTAAGCATACCGTGTAACTAGGTGGGCTAGCTCAGTAGGAGCTAAACCCAACTCAGGTCTAGCTTTTCTCGCTTCCGTTCAAAAGTGAATCAAAAATCTTTTCAAAGTTTCAAGTTTGCGAAATCTGGCAATCACACACCGCTCAGCGTCCTCAGCTTTGATTCAATCGGTTACAGCTCAGAGTGAGTTAGTTGAGATTATACAATATGTGCATGGAGTGATAATCTACAGTGATTGACGAGTTAGGCCAGCGAATTTTCTCGGCTTCCCATGACAGCCGTCGGTTGCCACACAAATTCGTGAACCAGGCCGCGATAACAAGATGAGCTGTCATTCCGAAGTTTCATTGTCTTGTTAGAGACCCGGACTGCAGACTTCCACGAAGAACTGTTTCTGGTGCACGTTAAACCTCTAACCGACCTTTTGGAAACTGATAATTATCTCGGAAGCTCGGAAGTCTATTTTAAGTTTAGCTCTAGTAACTAGAAGATGGTTCATGAAAGCTCTCAAACCTCAAGGCTGTAAGATGTTGGCCAAATAATGCTCCAATCGTCATTATGTTTGGCGCAAGAGTCACTTCGCTCTATCAAAAAAGAAAGAAGAATAGTGATAATCAATCTAGGAAGGATGAGCTGTCACAGTGCTCTAAAGGTCGAGCTACGCTACGAGAAGAGCCACACATTGTATTCATTGCAAGCATACCGCTACTTGCGAGATGACGAAACTTTGAAACGAATAGCAGTGAGCTAGTGCAACAAAATTCTTGGAGGTAGTCTGTCAACGATGGTGCGGCTGAAATCCCGATTCGGATTCATGATGCTGAGTGACACTACCAGGTCATTTGCTGGTGGCAAATAAAATATAATGACAATCCTTTTTTGAAGCCAAAGACAACTTTATGATTTCACATGCTGGCAATAAGGGAGGCAAGACTGAAAAACTGGCATAACTTCATTGAATTGGTATTTTGATATAAGATATCTAGCCCTTTGCGGCACCGGCCTTGATCAATAAGATGTCTACACAGAGTCAGCAATGATTCAAAATCAGAATTGAACCTAATCTTCTTACCTCCGTCTTCGACAACGTAATCTTTGCCCTTAGTCATAACCTTTCCTTTAGCCTTGATCTCAGCTTCATCTCCATTGAATTCCTTGAGCACGTTAAAGTTATATACGATAGCTTGAATGAAAGTCTTCTCGAAGTCACCATGAATGACACCTGCAGCTTGTGGTGCTTTGGTACCATTTCTGATAGTCCATTGACGGACTTCATCTGTACCTGTAGTGAAGAAACTTCCGAGGTCCAAAACCTTTCTCATGGCGGTGATAATCTTAGGTAAAGCGGATTCAACACCCAAGGTCTTGAGTTCCTCCTTGGCTTCTTCTTCAGTCGCGAATTGGGTTAATCTCTCCTCAAGGCAGATGGAGATTGGCATAATTGGATCACCAGCTGCGTGCTCCTTGATCCATTCCATAACCTTTGCCAAATGCTTGTTCTTCTTTCTGATGTAATCCTTCTCACTCAAGTTGATAAGGTACACGACTGGCTTGGCAGTCAAAAGGAAGAGAGGGTTGATGCACTCGATCTGTAAGAAATGAAGTAAGTATATAGTTTCATGTATCATTCAAGACAGTGATGGAGTATCAAAGTATCAGAACGGGTTTTTTCTCTCAGAATACACTCTGCATTTAATGCGAGGTACTCGACGAGCTGGGATTATTCAGGCCTCATGGCCCTTTGTCATCATTTAAGGATTTATGAAAATGTAGAAAAAATCGAGCACATACCTCTTTCGGTGACCAGTTACCCTTTCGAACATCTTTTCCATCGTTAAGCATAGCCAAAACCTTTTCGATAGTGGCTTCCTCCTCTCTGAGCTTCTTCATCTCGAGTGATTGACCACCTCTTCTAGTCAATTTCTTCTGAGCTTCGAGTGCCTTCTCAACAAACTCGATATCCTTGATACGGAGCTCATCACTGATAATGGTCAAATCGCGGACAGGATCAACATCTCCTTCAATGTGAATAATCTCGGCATCATCGAAACAACGGACAACTTGAAAGATGGCATCGACAGCACGGATGTGGGACAAAAATGCATTTCCAAGACCTTCACCCTTGGATGCACCTCGAGTCAAACCGGCGATGTCGTAAATTGTAAGATGTGCTGGCACTCTGGACTTAGGGTTGTACTTTTCGCAAAGCCAGTCGTATCTGTCATCAGGAACAATAACTCGAGATTCTTCAGGATCGATGGTTGCGAAAGGAAAGTTCTGGATGTTGTTAACGTTGATACACATGATCGACTCGGGGCTCTGAAACTTACTGCGGGGTTACCAAGGGAGCACTTGGTAATAGCTTGAAAGAGTGTTGACTTGCCGACATTTGCAAGACCGACCTATTTTTAAAATCAGTTCATGTCTTAGACAACTAGAATGAAGAGAGAAATACAATTCCACTCTTCAAGTTGTTACCAGGTCTACCCAGTAACGCCTTCTTCTCCTCGACGACTTTCTTTGGAGGCATTCTGCTCTTCTTTTTTGCGTAAGACCTCTTTTGATTTATGAATAGAACCGTACAGTTAAGTAGGCTCTTGTTGTATTTGTTTATAAAAGCAGAACTTGCTGCTGTGGTGAACAAAGTGGGTTGATAAGAAAGAGAGATACGTTGAAGAGGTAAGAGAGACGTCGTGATGGTGGGATGAATGCAGCCAGCCTTGTGCGGACCGCGAAAATGGAAATTTGTATGGAGGTGAAGGGACGAATTGAATTACTCAAAAAATCTTTCGTTTGAAGTTTCTTGTGTGCGCGCGCTGGAAAATTACCCAATAAATGAGGGGTGAGGATTATTGAGATCATGTGATCACGTCCATTGATCGGAATCAATCTTCGCCGTCGATAATGGGGCGACTTAGCTAAGCAGTACTCTTGATTGGCTATTGACAGCAAAAGTGGAGCCCCTCCAATCGTTACGCGAACGGATGGCTAGACCTATGATGATATACCTTGTAGATACAAGTGTCACCCCGACAGTCAGGTAAACCTTCAACTTAATCTCGATAATGAATGCCATAATTTGGATCTGAATCTGAATCTGATTCATGTTCAAGACAAGGAAGCAAATAGGGGATACCGAATAAAGTACATACATTCATTGTGGTACAAAGCCAAGGCAATTCATCTTTGGAATATACCATTTCTTGGGTCTTGACTTCTCCAACCATCAAGTTCTTAATTCTATTCATCTTCTTCAACCTGGACAACTATGTCTTCTTCTTCAAGTAAGAAGAGCTCGAGAATTTCTTCTTCCAGTCACAGATCGACACTTTCCCTCCACAAGACTGAAATAGTCATCAATGTTTACGATCTCCTTCCTGTAAGTGTCCATGGAACAACTTCTTAGTTTGATAATTGCTGACACGGATTTCGCGATCAGGCAGGCAAACTTTCTTCAATTCTTTGGAGTTTCGGTACGTCCTTACTTCATAGTGGAATTGTTATAAATGGCAGAGAATACGCATTTGGAGGACACGATAAAAAGGGAAACACGGGAGTGTATTGGCAAACCCCAAGAGTAGAACCGCCCGGAGGAACTTTCAGATGCGAGATTGTCCAAGGATTCACATTCTCTCCTCAAGCTGAAATCGATGCCGTTATCAAGGAGGCTTCAGCTATCTTCCAAGGAACGTCGTATAATCTCCTTACAAGAAATTGCAACCACTTCACAGCATATATGTGCGAGAGACTTACTGGTCAGTCTGGGCCACCATGGTTGAATAGAGCTGCTAGTATCGGAGTCGCATTACCGTGCATGGTTCCCAAACAATGGATCACACCTCCAGACTACGAAACTGCAGATGGGGAGCTTGTTGATGAATACCATGATGAGCAGGCTCTGTTGAGCAGCGCAAGACATAGCATGGATGATGGGCGACCAGATTTAGGCGATGAGACAGAATGGAGTTGTGATGAGGACTTTCAGGCCAGAAAAGGAAAGGGAAAAGATGTTAGAGACACATCAGGCAGAGTAGTTCCCCTTTCAGAGAGGGCACCTACGGCCAGGAGATAAATTGAATTTGGGTTGGAAGGATATATGGGTACAGGCTTTTTCAGGCGTTTTCGGCAAAGGATAAGGAAGGATAGGAAGGACTGGCGCCAAGGGTTCATTTTATGATACCATTTCATGATGCCATGATTCTTCTATTGTACAGATTTACACATCATATTGCAATTATGCACAGCGGTCTTTTTTTACCACCATAATTCCCCTTTTAACCCAATCTTCTTGGTTTCTTACTTCTTGTACCACCAAACTTCAATCTTGTAGCATCCGTAACTTTGACGACCTTTCCTCTCAACCATCTACCTTCTGTGCCCAAAAGAGCCTTTGTAACAGCCTCTCTCCCCGCACCAAATCCTCTCAGAACCAACTCCAACTTGTGGATATCACGACCAATAGCCCTCTCATGAATCTGCGTCATCACCAGTGAAGCCAATTGGAAAGCCGAATCATAGTGTTTCCTCCCCGAATGTCTGAATCCAATGTTTCCACACGATAATGAAATGATCGGTTCCCGGTTTGGTCTTGTGAGTGTGATATGGGTATTATGTCTTGTAGCATAAACGTGAAAGTGATGCGGTTCTTCCTCAACGATTCGTTCCCCAATCAAATTTCCATCCGAAGGAATTGTCGTATCCAGCAAGCCCGGTCGTTTTCGATCTTGCTGGTTTAGCATCATCATGTCTTTAAAAACACTTGTTATGCCCAAGTTTCCTCCTGCTGCTGCGGATCTGGTAGCCTTTGGATTCAGCGAAGTGGATCTAGCAGCCTTAGCTCTAGCCAGGAGACCGGCAGTTCCACCAGTCTTCAGGGTTGAGTGATTGTGAGGTACATAGTCGGGAAGAGGCTTGTTGTCGCCCTCAGCTTTCTGATTTGGTGTACTCGAAAAAGGTCGCAAACATCGGAGGGGTAAGGTTTGAGTGATATTCGCAGATTCGGAAATGGAGGCGAAAGGCGATTGAGCCAGAACTCGCCGTGAAAGAGTCCGACTCATGATTGAATGAATATCGAAATCCGGAGATTCAATATTGCGGGCAGTCTTGGTGGCTTTGATATCAAAATCTAGTCGAAAGTTGAATTCGGACTGGGTTGTTCCGCTTCGCTCACTAACCCTTGCAGCCTTGAAATTTTGTCGATCGGAGAAAATGTTCAAATCGCCGCCATTCAATGATAACCTTGCGAAACCAAATTTATTTCAAGTCTTGTATCTTTTGAAGTAGCTTTTTAATAATTTATACTCTCCTTCTCGGTCAATATGAACGGGCTACGAACAGCGGCGACTAGGACGCCCACAAGAAAACAGATTCATCTGTCGTCAATCGCGAGACCTTCATCCAATGGCTCCACCCTTCGTCGCCAGATCGTTCAACAAAGTCGAAGTTTACAATTTTCTACAGCGGGATCTTCGAGACCTGCGACTCTTTCATATCCTGCGCCTTTACGATCACGATTCCTTCCAGAAGAAATTAGATCTGTAGCATGCCCAGCATCTTCGCGGCATTTCCATGAATGCTCGATACTAGGCAAAGAAAAGAAGGCAAAACCAGTAGATCCAGCAGACCCAGCAGCGAAGGAAGAAGCTACAGAGGAAGAGCCTAGCAAAAAGGAATCTGCTAAAGACTCAGAATCTACTTCCGGGGAGGATAAGACCAAGGAAGAAGGAGAGGGCAGTGAAGGCAAAAAAGAAGGATCCAAAGAGGCCCCTCCACCCCCACCACCCCACGGAGACAAAACTCCATGGCAAGTCTTCACCGAAACCCTGCAAACCGAATTCAAGGCATCAAAAGAATGGAATGAATCTACCAAGCAATTGGCCGAAGGTGCCCATCAATTTACAGAGAACGAAAATGTCAAGCGTGCCAGACAAGCTTTCGAAACTACCACTGGAGCAGTAACCTCGACAACAGGCAAAGTTTTAAAGACTACCGCAGGCGCCGTTGGTAAGGGAGCTGCTTGGACTTGGGAAACTCCAGTTGTGAAGGGTGTGAGAACTACTGTTAATGCTACAGCCAATGTACTTGACAAGGCGACACAACCAATCCGACAAACGGAGGCATATAAGAATGTTAAGAATGTGATTGATGATGGAAGCAGTTCGAGGTATGGAGGATGGGTTGAGAAAGAAGAGAGGCGGAAAGCAAGAGAGTTGCGGGAATTGCAAGAGGGTACCACCGGCAAAATCAAGGAGGTCCCAATAGAAGATCCAAAGTAAGTGATACCTTCACCACATCAATTCCCACATCTAACAATTGCAGCGCTGGAACAAATGTCACCCTGCACAAAGACTCAGCATACAAAGAGGCTTGGAGAGATTTCCGCGACTCAAATCGTGTCATGCAATCTTTATTCTCCATGAAAACCGTCTATAACGAATCCGAAAATCCCTTGATCTCAACTGCCCGCAGCATATCTGATCGAGTTGCTGGGTTCTTCGCCGAGAACGAAACCGCCCAAGTAATTAAGAAATTCCGCGAAATGGACCCCTCCTTCCAAATGGAACCTTTCCTCCGCGAAATGCGCGAATACATTCTCCCAGAAGTTCTCGATGCCTATGTAAAAGGCGACACCGAAACCCTCAAACTCTGGCTTTCCGCAGCCCAATTCTCCGTCTACGATGCTCTTTCAAAACAATACACAACTGCTGGTCTCAAATCTGATGGTCGCATCCTCGATATCCGACATGTTGAAGTCCTGTCGGCGAGAATGTTGGATAATGATATTCCAGTCTTCATCATTACTTGCAGAACCCAAGAAGTTCACGTATATAGAAACGCAAAGACGAATCAATTAGCTGCCGGTATGGAAGATAAGGTACAATTGGTCACCTATGCGATCGGTGTTACAAGAGTGGCGGAAGATGTTAATAATCCAGAGACGAGAGGTTGGAGACTCATTGAGTTGCAGAAGAGCGGAAGAGATTACATATGAGAATCTCCTCTTTATCTCCTACTTTACTTTCTGTCACGGCGTCAGGCTCACAAAAGCTTATATCATCCCTCGTCTATTTCATCACTATCTTGTAGTATAGCGCTTCCAGTCTTCCTCCATAAAAGCAAGTCATCCCTTCATATCTATCTGGGTCCTTATTTCAACCCATCGATCATATAAATTCACAACTCCCCCTCTTGTACATCATCTCACGCTACATCACATTACAACACACAACCAAAACCACCCCCCAGATCAAAAGGAGTTCCAGGAAGCGAGGGACTCACATTTCACCAATTGACAAGTTTCTTGTCAAAGCGTGTGTATTAATGAAATCAAAAAACTTATCTATTTGTTCGTCTCGTCTGAACTAAGCTTCGACGATGCCTTTTAACGCCACTCTTACGATTTTCAATGGACAGTGAAGGGAGAAAGGAGGAGAAAGAAAGAGGGAGGAAGGAAGGAAGCTCGATAGAAGAAGATTCCTGAAGAAAAAACCTTCACACACTGAGGGAGGAAGGAAATTTGTTCATATACTGTACAATTAACGATCAAATCGAATGTATATCGGAATGAATGGAATGGCAAATTAAAAGCTAGAGATATTCATTATCATACATTGTTCTTTGTGCTTTTCTCCTCGATAGCTCGCAGTGTGAAGCTGTCAGATATCTGATACTAAATAGTTTATCTAATAGGTAAAGCTATGGTACAACTAACAAGATATAGCTAGGTAAAGCTATCTTTAAAATATGCTCAAACGCCAGTACCAATACGTGAATCAATATATAAGTATAAAACAGCAATTGCACAACCCAATCCCATGAAAAAGAACCTCGTTATGCGCATCCCACATAACTTCACCTAAACATCATCAGCAAACCTTACACCCCCTTTTCCCTTTTCCTTCCCCCTTCCCTGTGCCTCTCCATCTGCATCTGCATCTCCACCCTCACTTCCCCTCTGCCCTCCACCCCCCTCTTTCTCACTCAAACTCACACTTCCCTCTCTTACCCTCTCACCACCCTCAAAACTCCCCGTTCCATCCATTCCCATCCTTAAATTTGCACCCATGCTTCCACTCCCTCCCTCTCCCTTCCAAGCAGACTCTACAGCGCGACTCCTAATCCTCCACTGTCTCTTCTTCCCCCTCATCAACCCCCCTCCCATATACATTCTCCTTCCTCCACTCACAAAATTCTCAGTCTGTCTCTGTCCCTGCCCCTGCATATCCACATCCCCATCTCCATTCAGATTCAAATTCAAACGCATATTCCTCCCCAACGAAACCGGCGGTCCCCTCTCCTTCTCGGTCTCCCTCTCTGGCATAACCGGTACCCCGACCCCCAAGCCCCCCAATCCCGGTCCTATCAATCCGCCTACCATCGCCATCGGGGTCGGTATTCTTTCTCTCCTCTTCAGACCCCCTCTCTCCTCTCTTCCCTCATAACCCATCCCCTCTCTCGCCGGCGCACTAGCTCTTCTTTTTTCCTGCGCGAAATTCTTCAAGATGCCTTTTCTTTCTCCCGGTCTGGGGGTTCCAATTACAACTCCATCTCCGTTTACCGACGGATATCTAATCAGACTATTCGTGCCATTTTCACTTCCTCCATCTCCCTCCCTCACAATGATAATTGTATCCTGCGAACTAGTACCCGCACCATCTAATTCAAGACTGACACTGTTGCCTCCTGGTTCACTTTTAGAGTGAATTCTTCGGTCTCTCTGAGGAAATTGAGCATCTGCGACTAATTGTGCTGCGGCAGGAATCGTTATATCATCTATCGTCCCACTCTGAACAGAATTGGGTATATCCGTGCAAGATTCCACAATTCCATCTGTAAAACCATCAAACCTAATTGTTCCCGACTCGTTAACATCTGTAGTACTAGTATTCATCTCACTCGTAGCAAAATCCGTCGTAGCAGTGCCATGACCAGCAATCTCTATTTCACGCACCATCCAATCAGCCAGAGCTCAAGATGCGGAGATTCCAGGGAATAGAGAAAAAAGATATCGAAGGAGGAAGGACATACCATCTTCATCACCAGCAGCAACAACAGTACTAACACCATGTTTCT